CTTTACATGTTGCTCTATTATGACCTTTTTCTCCACATTTTTGACAAGTTTTTCGCTTATCTCTTTCATTTCCATCTGAACTATTATGTACATTAGCATTTTCATTTAAAGGTTGTAAATGTTGACGTTTTCTAGCTCGTTGTTCTTGAATTTCAACAGAACTCTTTGCTCTTCCAGCTGGCCTTCCTTTTCTTGCAGTAACTATAGGATTTTTGACATTAAATTCAATTCCTTCCATATTCAGATCTGACTCAAGGTTTTCTTGCTTATCTGTTATAAATCCATGACAGATACCTATAAACTCATCATATGAATTAGTAGCAATTGCAATATCAATTGCTTTTCGCATTAGACCATATGCTTTGCCATATTTTCGTCTTGTGCTGTTGATTTCTCTTAAATTTTGATTATAAAATTCACCACCACGAATCTGTTTCATATAATCGAACTTAAATTGATCATTACCTTGTTCTTGATCTGAATTCACACATAAAGTTATTGGCAATTGTTGCCAGATATTAATATTCCTATCAATAATATCATCCTTATACCAACGTGATGCAATAAGACCTATATGCCATTTGGCGTGAGTTGAAGATCGTAAAATCTTGTAAAAATGACGGCATGGATATCCATGTGTTATTAAGAGATTACATGTACAACGATGTGATCCATCCTCTAACAATATAATATAATGGCTTTTAGTTCCACAGGATATGACCAATCGCCAGATTTCTAAAATTTGTTCTAGGCCAATTGTAGAAATTATATCAGCAAGATGTATTTTAACAACTTCATAGTTATCTTCTCTCATTCCTTCATTATAATCATTGCTTTCTTTCTATTGAATAAGAAAAGACAAATTTATCCAATTATGAACTAAACTTGCAAATGATAAAATCACTATATGCACAAATTACCTGTATCATAAAATCCATAGTTGTAATATCCACCTTTGAACAATCATAATAAAAACATTCTTGCATTTGTTTACAAACTAAAAATACCATTGCAGGCATAAGATACTCTGAAACAACCTTTTCAATGGAACTAAAATATTTTTTAGGAATAGTTGCAAGTCCAACTGCTGGTATTTGATCTTTATATTCCTCTACTCTTGCAAATTCTGATTCCTTGTCAAGAACATTTTGAATTTCTTTCACTAGCGTTAAAAGTGATGAATTTGAATTAATACAATCATGAATTTTGTGATTTAAACTTTCAACTTGTTGAGTGCTATTTGCACCAGCTGTAAATTGGTTGTTGGTATAATATACGGCCCATTTTTGTTTTAAAGGATCTAATTGTCTCTTTATATAACTACTAGCTGGTATATACTTTGATTTTAAATGTTCCCAACGACTTTCAAAAAGAGTTGAAACTAATGTATTCCTACATTTGAAAAATTCTCCACGAAATGCCTTGAATTCATCTGACTTCAACTTATTTCGAAGGTTTTTCTTCAAATTGAGATCAATATGAAATAAACATAAGCAGTGAACAGAATCTGGAAACTCTAAACTTATTGCATTAGCCATTGCTGGGTCTGAGTCAGTAAATACAACTTTTGGTATAAGATCATTAGTATATTTTCTGATCATATTTAGTGCCCAAACAAAGCTTTCTTCTGTTTCATCCTCAAGCAATGCAGTTGTAACAAGACGTGTACGATTACAATTATCAATAATTGCAAAGAAACAGGCCACCATATTGTATTTGTTAGTTCGGGATGTAGTGTCAAAAAAAAGAACATCATAGTATCGTGTCTATAAATATTGTTGATCAGGCGTCATCCATAATAATGCACATAATCGACGTTCAATTCCATCAAATTTAGTTTCTATAAACCAACATGGATCATCAGTTTGTTTTGAATATAAGAATTTCATTAAATCTGAAGCATCAAATTCAGTCCTTAGTAATAACTTCTTTTTCGCAATTTGAATTGCATTATACAGATTCTTCTGATGAATGTTTCTTCCAGGAAACTTTCCTTTTAAAAGCTGGCCAATATTTTGTATACCAGTTGTACCATGTTGTACGCAAAATTCTATAAATTCGATCATATCTTCACCAAGTTTATGATATTTAGCAATATTGATTAAAGGTGAAGGTATCATTTGATGGTTATGTTCATCAACAACAGTAGTAAATGAAATTATTGAAGAATCTTTTGGAAGATTTCCATTAATTCTCCATTTACATCCTGTTGCTTTAGACTGTCAGTTTCTTTGATC